CCCTAAACCAAAAAAAAAAAGAAGAAGATGACAATCGTAAGTGCTATAGTATTAGAGAAAATAGTTTAGCTTGTCAACTGAGATTCTAAAGTAATTGAACAGGTCTAAGTGGACTTTTGACAAAAAGAGGAGAATTATACATATACTGATATGATGTTTACGATATGCTTATATTCTCTGTAGTGTGAACACTTTATTGTACATGCGTTTAAATTATTTCGAATATATATATATATATATTATTTGAAAACAAGTAAAGTGTGTGCTGTTTATTTATCATTTAATTTATCGCTAACAAGTCACAGACACCTACTGTAGAAGAATCCTAAGCCCAACAACAACAGTATATATATATATATATTTATTATTAAGAAATGTAAGTAAAAGCCATTTATTTTGACAATTGACTAAAAATAAAATAAAAGTCTTATACATATATAATATCATTTTTAAATTCTGACAGAGGTTGGAGTAAACAGATACAAGACAAAAGGGCATAACAACCAAAAGAATATCAACAACAGAGGAACAATGTTTGAAGGGAAAGGGTGGTAGAGGTCAATGCCAGAGTGGAATAATCAGGGCAGAAGTCTCCACCAAAAACTCTTCAGAGGAACAATGAAGAGCCTCAGACATAAGATGAACTGAGGAAGGGGAAGGAACAAAGGAGGGAGGATAAGGTGAGGCAGTTGATTGAAATTCCTTGAAGTAAAGCTCGAATGAAAAACAAGAAGTGAAGTTGAACTAAGATGATTAGTAGTTGTGTCACACTCCTATTGGTGGAGGGTTGCAGCATGATCATTTGCATGCTATCATGCATCTGCCTCATGTGAAAACATGTGAAGGTAGGTGGGAGTATCAAGGCTAGTAGTGTGTGAAGGTTTGTGTATATAGAGCACAGTACAGGTCAAGAAAAGCTATTATGTGAAAGGAGGTAAGATATCATATCAGAAGTTTTACAATTCACATTTTAGCTGATAAGTTATAAAGTTATATGCATGTATGCAGTCTTTTAAAATATGCTATAAAATTTAACACTATTACTTTACAACAAGAGGTCAAACCATTTGAAGGCAATGTTTTGGTAAATAAATAAACCTGTCTTCCAGAAAAGTTAGTATCTGAATGTAAACAATAAAATACTGTTCTCCAGTAAGAAACATATGTTTATAGTGTTATAAGTTATATTATTTTTAATTTTTTAATGTTGTCTTATGTTTGATAGCTAGAGTGAGCTGCTAGTCATAATGATGACATTAAATTTAGGCCTAGAGAGTTTTAGAAATTTGATGTTAGGGTTTCTAGTATATTTCAAGAGTACATTATAAATGCCAGATATCTGTGAAAATTGTAGAGTTGTTTCTAGCAGATAAGGATTAATCAGTGAGAGAACAATTTCGTCAATGTTCCATTTTCAGTTACTTGATCGATCATACATGAAGTAATATGAATAAGTTTAATTTTTACATTAGTCAAGGTTTGAGAGTCATTTCTAAAGTTTCTTAGGCCTAGAAATTACAACAGTGTTTAAAGTGTTATATATATTACAGAATAAGACAGACTAATTAATTTGTCATCATTACATAAATCAGATGTTGAATTATTTTCACCAGATAAATTAAAACAACCCATTGAACAAAAAAAATGTGACAACTATCTTCATATCTTTCAAAATTTCGTAAACTTTTATCAATTGAGGATATTAGCTTTTAAAGAAAGTTATAAGTTACAAAAACAAAAATACTTTCACTTGTAATTAACGTTTTTATAAAAGGAATTAGGGTAACTATGGTCAAACCAATATTAAAAATTAAATTAGCCATCCTTTTTTAAATGTAAAATTTTTGAAGTTAATTACTTGGAGTTGAGGAAACAATTTAAAATAAAATGTGGGTTTTTCAATTAAGAAATACAACCTCAGTCATAATTTCACTCACTTTGAACTATCACATAAGCTTACTTTAATCACATTTTACTCTTAGCAATTTCAAATTTTTAATTTTTCACTGTTGATAGAACTTACTTAAAAAGCTTCAACTTATTTTATAAAATTTCAAGATGTTTATGAATAAATATATTACCGTTTGGTCTTTGTATAAAGTGTAGTTGGAAAATAATCCATTACAGCTACAAAAATGTATTCTTCTGCTTTATTAATCACATCGAGAATACTGTCGATGTCACTGGTCCTGCCATCAGGGCAGAACAGCGGGGGAGAACTCTGGATAATGAAAGATAACAATATTGTAGGAGTTTTAGATTTAAGGAACGACAAAATATTGGGTGGTTTCATTCTTTAAACCACTTGAGACATTTTTACTGACATAATATTCCTGCAACTTCTACTACTGTATTAACTCCTTCAGCACAGGCTCGGTCCCTGGGACCAAACTCGTAATCCATTTCGTGCTTGTTATAGTTTTCATGCTATAACTTTTAAATTAATAAGTGAATGTTAACGAAATCTGGTGGATTATCAATAAATATTACAATGCATTTCATACACAAAATATCAAATTTTTTTATTAAGTCTTAAGGTTTGTAAAGCAGTGTTTTTCTCGGGTTTTTTTCTTTTCACATCTTGCCTATCTATCATGCAAAGTAATATTCATTTTAAGATTAAAAGTACTTTTATGCATCAGAGAATTTTCAAATTTCACATGCAAAATCTTTATAATGTCCAAATAGTTATCAATCATTTCTTAAGAAAAACTCACATGCACTCATGTTACCATCAAATAACATAAAACTGACCTTTGGTCTGTGCAAAGTAACTTATCTTGGCTGTGTTTTTGTAGACTAGTACTTTGTAAAATACAATCACATTTCAGTTATTATACATTATATATGTATATAGATTATTGCTATTTTGAAATAAGTTCTTAAACTTATTTTTCTTAAAACATAGAAGTATAACTAAAGATGTAAAGCAAACAATCTCTTCTAGTTACGACCTTTGTACTCGGTTGCTGCTCGACGTAGATTGCTATACCTTAAAAAATTTGCACATGGAAGATATGAAACAAAATATATTTTTTAGGTTTTATATATATATACATTTGAATAACTAAAAAAAAATAAATTACCACATTAATACCATAGAATTCAACTATAATTTATAAAGCTTAGTAACTAAGATGTATTTTAGTCTAAAAAATAGATTATAATTGAAATGTTAGTAATATATATATATTACTCAGTTTCTTAATTTAAAAGTAAATATTAAAAAACAGATAAACATCGATATTTTTGGGTGTCATAGAGTACATTGAATGCAGCATTAGTTCAAATTAGATGTTTGTGAAGTCAAAATACAAAGTCTGTAGTTTTTAGTGAATTAGAAACTCAATTTATCGATACTGACAAGCTAGAATATAAAATAAGAGCCTCTTTTTTTTTCAATTTGCTAAGATATTGCTCATGTAATAAATCAAACACAGTGGCACCTGCCCACCTTATTCCATTTTTGGAAATGCTCCCTTATATACACTTACTTCTATATATGACATAAATGACCAATTGTAAGCTCAGAATGTCCCTTTCTCAGCCATTTTAATGGACTTGGTGCCATTTCTTTCTGTTGAATCAATATTTCAATGAGGTTGGGTGTCTTTAGTCTGCTCGAAATTTCATACAGTTTGATATCAGACTTATTGACATAAATTCATGAAATAGTAGTTCAATAAAATTTTGAATGTGAGTCAACAAAGGAAATGACATAACCGTTCAGTCGTGACCTGTCTGAAAGAGTTGATAAAGGTATTTAATGTAAAAATTTCAATGTTGCTATCAGTAGTTTGATAAACTGGAAAGTGTTATTGTACAAGTACTAAGCACAATTCACTGATTTCTGGTTCTCCAATATGACAATGAAATATTTAGTCCAAAAATGACAAGAGAAAGTACAAAATTTATTATCTGCAATAAATATCAAACTGCAACATTACATTTGTATTTAATTCTTTACATTTCTGTAAGACATGTTAAAATCAAAGTTAAACAGGATCTAAATATGGAAATTATTTACTTACTAAAGGATTATAAAATAAAAACTGCATGAAGTTCAGGATTAACACAGTAGAGAAAAGTTATAATTTTCCTATATTGAAACTGTATATCTGATAGGTACTTCCCTCTTCTCACAAAATTAGCTGTTCTCCTCCAGTACTGCCTTCTATATGCAAATGTTTTCTTTACGCATGGCACAAGCCTTCTGCTCCCCCCTATTGGAATCAAATGATTCCAACATGTCTGTCATGTAAATCATCATGCATCACTTCTCCACCAATAGGAGCATGACCTAATCATGTAATGCATGTGACTCTCTTATACGCTTCTACCAAACTATCAATTCTAGGTTTGTCAGAAGACATAAGCACTGGAGGAAAGTAGGTGAGAAGTGTGAGTGGAGGGAAGTACTGATCAAAATTACATTTTCAGTACAGGAAAATTATAACTTCCAGTATGGTACTTCCCTCCCCTCACAAGTGTAGCTAGAATCCCACAATGATTAGGTGGTGGGGCCGGTGCGAGGGAATGAGAGAAGTACCTCCCCAAACGGTCCGAAGGATACCCCTGGAAATGAAGGAGTCAGGTCCGAAGATCTGATGAGGGAACCGCACCATTTCAGAACCAGGTATATTCTTCACCCATCCATGAAATGTGTAGTAGATATGGGTAGACAAAGAGAGGAGCACATCCAAGTGGGAGAGAACTGTGGCAGGATAATGATCCTAACAATATAAATAACTCAGTCCCACAAAGTATAAAAGTGAGTAAAACAATGGATGTGCCCCTATGTGTAGAGTAGCTAGAGTGAGATGGACTGTACTCAGTAAGTCAACTACATTCAAAACCCATGCTGCTGGGAACCGACATCCACGTGGGGGTAGGATGAAGATCATACTATCTACACCTCAAGTTCAAGAGACTGTGGGGATATAGAACCACTCTGCCTCCTGAGCATGACACGCGTTAGCTTTGATCTATCAATCCGGAGACCCGACACAAGGTATCGAAAAGATGTCTATGTAATATAAGTCATCTTCCCCAACAGCGAAACTGACCAGAACCATCCAAAAAAGCAATAACATCCTCAGAATAAGATACAATGAGGGATAGCAAAAGAAAACAGAATCAGAACAATCCTCCTTACCTCCACTGAGACCCACAACATAGAAGGAGTATGATCAAGGGAGGAATATAGACAACCATAAACATATTTGAGGACTTATGTTGATTGGTTCTACTCTAAATACCAATCCCAGCCATGGTGTACCAATATCCATGTGGGGGTAGGATGAGGGCTCCCAATCAGTATATTGCATATTGAAGGATAGCACATCATCCACACCTGCATAACACCACCACCTTACTCTGCACTGAATGGTTATAGCCATCTTTGTGTGAAACTCATTCAGGAGGGTGCCTCCATAGTGAACCACCTCAGCAGCTTGAAAATGGAAAATGGTAAGGACTCCCACACTCCACTAGAAGAAGGGAGGTGAGAATGCAGTGGAGAGTCCAGAGAAATGTCATCACCTGAGACAATTCAATTGGTGACCACGAAACCCTATTTTAAAAAGCAGACCATACCGATTTATTCAATACAAGGTATGGCAGGGATGGGCAGCTATCCATTTCTGCTTTACCCATGCAGTCCATGGGTGGTATGGTGAGGAATGGGCAAGTTTATGAAGCAATTACATTGCATAGTTATGCACCTACAAGCGATCCTGTGCAACATCCTATCTCAACAGTGAGCATTGGGAAGCCATGGAAAATAAAGTGCATGTCAACATGGCTGTACATTGTGGATTTCAAGTTGCAGAATGCCTGGTTAGGCACCACTCACCACAAAGTGGGATCCATATAATGAGTAAAAGAAGCAAGGGCCCCTGAAAAGAAAAGTACGAATATAAACTTATCCAGTCAAAGTCGCACCGAAGTCTGAAGAATGGCCACAGGTGGAAGATGAAAAACCCAAGAAGAAACTGCAATATGGTGTAAATAATGGGAGACAAATATATTAGGTTTGTCCACATGCCTGACTTTAGGATTTTCTCCAATGGCCAATGATGACAAGATGTGAGAGAAAAAGTGAGGTGTCGAATCTGATGAGAAGACACCTGGAATAAATTCCGAAAGGAAGAAGAAAAGGAGGAATAAGCCAATTGAATCAAAAGTTGAACCCAACTGTTGAGGGTAAAAGTGGAAAGATCCTAAACAGAGAAAGACTGCCAAGGGATAAAGAGTTGGGAACAGGTACCACAGAAGGAAGCTATGCAGGCCATAAGAAAATAAAAGAGTACAGATCAAACATAAAAGTGTATCCAGATCGGGAGGATGGTAGAGATGAGAAATAGAAGGATAGGAAATATGTAAAAAAGAGGAGTTTACCCCCCCTAGCCACCAAGGTCTATGAAAGAAAGGAATGATCTGGATAAAGGAAAAGATAGGTAGGCTGCTAAAGTGTATGTGAAACGTAAACAACAAATAAATCAGACCTTCAACGTTCACAGGCTAACAGGAGAAGGAAATACATTGTAACGGAAAGGTGAAACATGGAACACGAGGAAAGTGGCTCAAACAAAGGTAAAGTGAAGGAATGGAGATAAACATTAATATCCCAGTCCAGAAGAGTAGGACATCTGGGAGAGGGCAAAGAATCTGGAAGGAGCACAGCAAAATGATAAGGACAGGGGAAGTAAAAACACAACAGTATCTGGAAAAATGAAAGGTATGGGATAAGGCAGCTCAATAACCCCAGAGCGATTAGACCGAAAACCTACTGATTGCAAAGCCACTGGAAAATGAGGGGACCTAAAGACAACTCCATCAGATATATTTGGTCAGGGCAGGAAAGACAATCTGCTATGAGATTGACAGTACCTGGAACGTGACACACAATGAGATTAATGTGGTGCATGTTGGCCCAATATAGCAGATTCAATACTCAAAAACCATAAAATTGTTGGAATGAATCATCAAATATCTAGTGATAGGAAGGAATAGGTTCAAAGCCCTGTGAACCATAAGAAACTTGAAGACATTGATATGCAAAGAAATTTCGTCTATAGACCAATGACCCGAAGTCTCCTGGTGATTGGCCCATGCACTCTAGCCCTGAAAGTATGCATCTGTTAAAATATGTAAATCCAGACAAGGAAGAGGAAGCCGAACACCCGGCAACGTATGGGCCTTGTCCAGTCCCCAATGTAG